ACAGAGAGAGAGAGAGAATGACAGAGAGAAAGAGAGAGACCGAGAGAGATAGAAAGACCGAGAGAGAAAGACCGAGAGAGAAAGACAGGGAGAGAGAGAATGGACTTGCCTATTCCCCCATATCATTCTTTACCCCTAATAATGTCCCACTACCCCCCCATATGCTTTGGCAATGCTAAAATGTATTTGGTCCTGCCAATAAAGCTTATTTGAATTAAATTGAGAGAGTCAGAGAGAGAGACAGAGAGAGAGAGTCAGAGAGAGAGAAAGACAGACAGACAGACCGAGAGAGAAAGACAGAGAGAGAGAGACAGAGAGAAGACCCAGAGAGAGAGACCCAGAGAGGGAGACCCAGAGAGGGAGAGAGACCGAGTCAGCGGTGTGACCAGGGGGCCCTTGAAGATGAGCTCCACTTCATGCTACAGTGCCCCAAGTACTCAGCACTGAGGGACACTCACTTCCACAGGCTCTCCACTCTCATCCCGGACTTCACCTCTATAGAGGAGTCGAGGAGACTCCACATTGTACTGGGCGAAAAGAAGCTGGCGGTGAAAGTATCAGCACAATATGTCACAGAATGTCACCGACTGAGAGGAACATGAGAGATTCTGGACTTATAAATCTCCAACATGGACTCACCCCATCCCCTTTATATTACTCCTTTCCCCTGACAATGTTCCCGGACTTACCTTTTCCCCATATCATCCTTTATCCCTAACAATGTTCCACTACAAAACACCACCACCCATCTATCCCATAAAACCTCCTCATATGCTTTGGCAATGCTAAAATGTATTTGGTCCTACCAATAAAGCTTATTTGAATTTGAGAGAGGGACAGTGAGAGAGAGAGAGAGAGAATGACAGAGAGAGAGAGAGAATGACAGAGAGTGAGAATGACAGAGAGTGAGAATGACAGAGAGAGAGAGAATGACACAGAGAGAGAGAGAATGACACAGAGAGAGAGAGAATGAGAGAGAGACAGAGAGAGTGAAAGAGAGATTGACAGAGGGAAAGAGAGACTGACAGAGAGAGGAGAGAGGAGGGAGAGAGAGAGGGAGAGAGACAGAGAGAGAATGACACAGAGAGAGAGAGAATGACACAGAGAGAGAGAGAATGACACAGAGAGAGAGAGAAAGAGGGAATGACAGAGAGAGTGAAAGAGAGATTGACAGAGGGAAAGAGAGATTGACAGAGAGAGGAGAGAGGAGAGAGAGAGAGAGAGAGAGAGACAGAGAGAGAATGACAGAGAGAAAGAGAGAGAGAAATGGGGGTGCAGAGAGAGAGCAACATTGAAAAAGTGGAGAGAGCAGTAGAGAAAGGGGGTGAAGAGCGGAGCTTCCAGTTTTTCTCTGGGCATATTGGGGGGTCGAAAATTTCTACTTATGATCCAACGTTCCCTTATGGTCGAGCAGAAATCAGTCAACACTGAGACTTAGTAATTTGCTCTGAACTCTAGATGTGCACTTTGAAAAAGAGAAGACAGTTTTCAAAAGGTCCTAGTCATTCAGTATGGGCTTATATATGACAAATATGCAAAGAGAGGTAAGACATATCTTCATTACAGTGCATGCTTTGCATTGAATACATGTAATTTGTTGTGTCCTCACACTGCAATGATTTGCTTGTGTTATTATCTAAACATTAGTATTGATGATTACTTAAACCGCAGACATGAGAGGGAGGTCAGACGCTCAGGCACAATCCAGCGGCTTACAATATCCGTCTTGTACTCACCCAAGCATACGTTTATGGCTATAGAGAGGTCCACGCCTAGCTTATCTTGGGTAAAAAAAAAAAAATAGAAATCAGCCATAAAAAATTCATCAAGGCTTAATGCTATATTACCTTGGATCAGTAGCTAAGGGATGTTCAAGCAAGCACATCAGTAGCTAAGGGATGGTCAGATTCAGATTGGGTGACAATAATTTATGGATATGGACAACTACGGAGATGATCTAGAAGCTGGACAATTTAGAAGTCCTCCAGTTGCTTGATTATCTAGACCAGGTGACAATTCTCTAATTCTATAGGTATCCCCTGCCCTCTCATCAGAAAACTGGTAATCGTTATACAAAAGTGAGAAAAAAGCCAGGCACTAGTGCTATAAAGCATGCCCCCTGGTCCAAAGACAGACATCCCAACCTAAACAAATTCATTTTAGGGAGGTGCCTTTCTCATTTCAGGGAGGTGCACACCCTGAAATGATGGCAAGATAGCAGGGGAGCTAATGCTTCCATTGCTATCTGCTGTTTTTTTTGTATTTTGACAGCTCCTAGCGTCAGAATAAAAAAAAAACAAAAAAAAAACCACCATACTGCATGGGAATGCATAGCTATGCTGTTATTGGCTATTTCCATTTGCAATAGCAGGCTGGCTATTGCACCCGCTCACTGCCGCTGTCTAAAAAAAAAAAAAAAAAAAAAAAAAAAGAAGAAACAAATACCAGGAAAGGTTTACTCTGCTAGATCCGCTATCTTATAGCAGTAGACTCCCGGAACGTCCGAGAGAGTTGAGATGCCTGCAAAGATATGAAAAGAAGACTTTCAGCTCCACCTTCGAACTGCACAGCCCATGTCAGTTAATCAGTGGAGCATCTATAGACTGTACAGCAATTCTGTTTTCTGAGTAGACAGCATGTGAGGCACTGGGGAAGTTTTTTTTTACCCAAAAGTAGTTACACTTGAAAACTTTGTTGTAATACGCACTTTTTACTTTATATAGAACACATCTATTTAACACAATGCGTTCTATATTAAATCACAAAGCATAATCACTATAAACTAAATAGAAAGGGGTTCAAACAGTTTAACCTTCATCAACAGACACCCGTGACTGCCTAGTGATGGATGTAGTGATCAGACATGTGATGAATGGACATTATTATCAAGCTTCTTTAACTATCTAGTTAATCTGTGTTGTAAACCCAGATTGACCCCAACACTAATATTCATTCCACAGAACTGGCAGCTAAACCAGGCCGATGCTTTCTATCACAAAATGTGAGGGCAAGCAGACATCACGAGAGTTTATTTCCATAGAACAAAGACACGCAACAACACAAAATGTAACATTAACACAATAAAGCATAGTGTATTACTGCTGTGCCACCCTCTTTGGCATGCAAGCAGTTAAAAGGAGCACGTAATGAAAGGAGTAGGATAAGGAGTGAAATCACCCAGAATTTAGACAAAGGAAGCAGTATTAAAATAGAGTCCTATTGAAATGACTGAAAGGGCCTTATCAGACCCTGTCATATCTCTCTCTGAGCTGGTGCCACTGGAAATAGAAGGCTGTTACCGCTGAAAGTCTCACTGCTACACAAGCTTAGCCACCGCACAGCTGACAGCACACACAAGTATCCACTGGATTGGGAAGCCAAAGTAAAATAAGGGTTAGCTTTATCCTGAGCACTACTGAATATACAACTACAACAGCAGATTTAAACCACCCCCAGCTAATACCGATTTGTAATTGCTGCTTATCTGGTTGTCATGATGCTCTGTCAAAGAAGACAGGTTTTTAACAAGTACTTAGAAGTGTATGGCCAGGCATTACCAAAATGTACCCCTAAGGCTGGGTTCACACCTGGGCGTACCATAGGCGCGTTTTTTCTGCTCGTTTTTCAGCTCATATTTTTCGTTCAGTGAAATGCGCGTTTGACGCTTGTTTTATACCTCCCTGTCGGTATGATTTTTTTTTTCCTTTATTTTCTCTATCTTTTTTTCGTTTTTTTTTTTACTTTCAACCTTCCTGCCGGTTCCGCCCCCCTGTGACGCGGCCGCTCGCAAGGGACGGAACCCCAGAAGTCGGCAGCGGCCGGAGGACACACCGGGGATCGCGGACAAGGTAAGTCCTACCGGGGATCGCGGACAAGGTAAGTCCTACGTTGTATTCCCAAGTGTGGCTCGGGGTAAGGTGTGAACCCAGCCTAAACCTCCTTCTCTTTCTTTACAGCTTTTCCTTTACCAGTATTGCACTACTTCTCTCCCGACACTGTGCATGTGCATTCTTGTTTGTTCTCAAATCAATGCACTATGGATCTTAAAACCCAATTCCTGCCATTATGATTAGTTTATATTAAGTGAGGAAGGGTTAAAAACCATGGGGTTTTTATTGCTGCATGCGTCTTTCTACCTTAGTGAGATCAATTACTCTCATTTCATCCCCTGGTGAAACCAAGACAGGAAGTAAGGTAAAATCTCTATAAATGAGGTCACTGACCATGATAAACACTTTACAGAGGTGCTAAGTTCCCCCCATTTATTCACAGCATGAGGCAGCATGGCTCATGACACATCATAGGAACAGGTGCCAAGATACTTGCAACTGAACAACCTTACGACATAGCGATTATAAAGTAGGATGCGGCTTATGGGAAAAATCAAATAAAAAGCAGAGCCTTGGAGTTTTACTTTAACCTTGAAAATGCCAAAGGTCATATCTAATAGCATGATCCACTGCATCTATGCAATTACCTTTCCTTATCTTCTGAGCCACAGAGAGAAACCTATAGCATAACAGCACATCTATATCCATTTTCCTTTTGACCTCACAGGGATTCACAGACGTGTGCACTTTACGGTTTCGGTTTCAGATCACTTACTCTAGTGGGCTCTGCCAATATCTCTGCCTCTACCTTGTATGTGTCAGTGCATATGTTGCCAACTTTGCAAGCTGTTACTAAGCACCTCATGGACTATCTCCTGACAAAACCCATCAAGCATTGCTAAATGTCACAACTGTCTGCATTGCTGTCCTGGATACTATGTAACTTATGCATGGTTTAACACATTTCTATATGTACAATAGGCATGGCACAACCTATACAATGGAAACGTCAAATGAGTATAAGATTACCCAAGTTCTTATTATACTATCAGATCTTTATCTAAATCAAAACATTTCAAACTGTTACAGGAACTGTGTAGAGAAAATAAATAACATACATTTATAAAACAATAAAAAACAAGCATTAACAATTGTCTGCATTTTACTTACACTTTCGAGGTTCCAGCCCCTTGTTTGCACATGCAAGGTGCTTTACTGGAGGATTCTGGGTTCTTTGAAGACACGCCAACATAGTTACAAAGACTTATGGTCAGCTAGGCAGATGGCCGCACTGCAAGAAGACATTAATAACATTAGTAAGCAGACACTGCTTATCAGGGCAGAAGCCTTATAACAACATGCGTACATCGGAACAGAAAAGTGAACACTGCAATTCTAATCATAAACAATGCACAGTCCTACAGGGCACCCTGCCACGTAGCCAAAAATGCAACAGATGTGCAAAACATCTCATTGTAATGTAAATAAAAACAATCGTATCCAAAGCAGTTCCTGGTCACAAGGAGCCCGGGCAGCCTTCATCTTGGGAAATTTATGTTAGCATCCCCCTTTTTTGTATAGCCCTCCTCCGTATCCTTTTATATAATTCTGCATGCCCAGGCCCCCTTCGGCCATTTCTTCCTGATGTGTGCACTAGAAAAACACATTCATAAACTAGCATAAGGGAGGGAGGTAAAATGTTGTTGGCAATTATACACAAAGCAGCAAAAAGGTGTTTTTTCTCCAGGCAGCTTGACCGCCGGCATATTCAGGAGCAAATATAGGCATATTTGCCTACAGCATAAACTACGCCTGTAATTATATGGACAGAAAAATGCAGTAGCTCGCAGGCGCTGCAAATACAGGCGTATTTGTACAACTTACGCATCTCTGCACTTGCCTCTGCTGGTCCTTGCCCCATTTTTATACAATCACACAGGTGATGAAATTACCTTTTTTTTTTTTTTTTTCTCAGAATGACTAAAAATGAAAAATATGGAAGATTTAAAATGAAGAAAAAAAAACCCACTGGGTAAAGCATTTTGAATACAGAGACCTGAAGACGCAACTGTATCACGATGTTCCCTTACAACACAGGGGATACAGTTTTAAGAAAGATTACTGAGCAAATCAATCTCCCAAGGTGGCTGCCTATGTACTTCGTGACCAGAAAGTGCTCAGGAACCTATTTGAAATCTTTTGCTTTTGCAGTCTACTGCATTTTGACAAAGAAGTCAGGTAAGCCGTGGGATTGTGTACATTGTTTACCTTTAGATTTTAGGAATGTGTAAAAGTGTGTGTTCTGTGAGTTTTTACACGCAAGTAATTTATGGGGTAATTGTCACAATTGTTTGCAATGCAATATATTTAGGATTAGTTTTCATACAGAAATTTGTAGATTTTACATACAGTGACTATAACTTCTTGTCATCTGTGTCCCATTTCTATTTGCTTTCAGTCCCATAATAAAATAACAGGACATCTCTCCAAACTGAGTGAATCCTCTCAAACTGCTTTCACCAAAACACTTCCCCATTGGAAGATTTCCCCTGCATATTTGTTCCAGTGAGAACTAAAATGTTTGGATTTTCCACTCACTTCCTGTACTGAAGAAAATGGTTACCAGAAAAAATGGAAAGGGTGAATCTCCCCATATTTAGATACACAACGGCTCCCTAGATATTGTAACTGAAGTTTGTGGAGACGGGTGGTGCCAACAGGGCCACCCACATTTCAAATGTTGTTCAATTCCACAGTAATCAGCTAAAATGCCAGCCATGGTCCGTTTAAGCCACACAGAAATGCTGGGATTTTTTGAACTACTAAGAGTTACATGGATCTAAAAACAGAAACAGATGGTTGTGACCCTCTGAAGACATTAACACATTAAGGGGACAGTTTAGATATAAAGGGTCCTTTCCAGAATTTTCTTTAACACAGATATTCCCAGGAAATCTGGAATTCATTGTTGTAAAAGACAGTAAGAAATTGCCTTTTGCTCAGCGGAATTTGAAAACATGTAATACAGTATATTCAATCCATTTTTGTACTTCACATTTCATAAATAAAAATGTTTGATTGGTCAGTCTGCCCTAGTATTTTAGTTGTGGGTAGATACTGGCAAGTTGAATCATCCGCTGGCTCCCTATATCTCATCTATTGGATACTCTGTTGGTGTTATATATCTGCACTTTCCCAGGTTTGTGCCACCCACTGAGACAAAAGCCAGCAGAAATGATACTCCATGAAATCTTATTTTGTATCCATGTTCTGAATGATTTATTGTTAAAGCTAGAGACATGAAACGCACAGACAAAAGGTTCCAGGATATTTTAACACCTGGACAACCAGGTATATATAAAAGATACACATCAGTGTCTCTAGATTTTCTGAAAGCGGATGGTAATAGCTATTTGATAGCACAGAGGGATGTCATTTAGACTTCAAATACAGTCATGTCATATATTATATGGTCACCCTTTAGGAACACAAATACTATATCATAATCACATGAACCTATCATTTTACACTGGCAGCCCTTTAGGGAGAACTCTGGGTATATGAAACCGTAACCCTTGCAGTGGGTCTACCCTCACACTACAAGGGTTAGGTGCTCGTTTTTCTCTAGGGTCTAAAAAAAAAAAAAGATATTCTCACCACCTACGGCGGTGACCGCTCACCTTGAGGACACTTAACCCTTACAGTGCAGTCCAGAAACCTAAAGTCTTTATAGGCTTATTAATTACATATGTGAATAGGACACCTTAATGTAAATAATGTTACCACTCTATGCTAGTATATCATTATATGTATTTGGAAAAATCTGTCTATAGCTTTCAATTATAAATGTACACAGTGCAGCCATATTTTCTCATTATATACATTTTGTTTAGTAATGCAGCACAACGATTGTACTTTACAGCTCCTATCAGCCTTTTCTGAACAAAACAATGCAATCCCTTGGTGTAACTGGCTTTATCTCAGAAGTCACTTGCCAAGGGTGATAACTGCGCTTGCATGTCATACAGATTGTACGGGAATTTAAAACCCTGAATAAATAATTACATGAAAAACACAGTACATTTACAGCAAGGTATACTCTGCAATAACTTACAATGTATACTTCCTAAACACGCAGTAGGTATTATTTTTTTTCCTCTTTCATCCTCATTAGCAGCAATAGAGTGCACTGTGATCTTTTCCTTTCACATGCCTATAGTAGATACACTGCATCCATGTGAAAGGTCAATGAGGGAATAAAATTTGCTGTCAGATTCCAAAATGCAATACTCCTCTTTTTCTGCTGTTTGTCTATTCATCTATAACATAATAAAATGTTTTTTTCAATGGGGATGTTTTGTTTTTCTTTCATTCTGTTTGGACCGATGTACTTCATAGGTCAGGTATTTAAGCAATTTTATTGTGAGGTATGATGTGCCTGCCACTGTTGTCCTGAAAATAGTATTTCCCTGCCTATTACACTGACTCTCTGGTCCTTAATACATTCTAAGTTACTGACCCAGGACAGATATGCAGCTCAGGACACTCAGAAAAATCAGAAATTCTCATCTCCATCCTTGCAGCAAGTCACTGATTCAAAGCACTGAAGTCAGAGGGTCAGTAGGACAGCTCAATATTTCAAGTAAGACAGTATGTCTTGAAACCAATGTTTAGGCATCCACTATCCGAACAAGACAGCATAGGAGAGCTTCCATCAGAAACTCGAAAAAGACGATGTTAGAGGTACCATAAAAGGCTAAGGAGTGCTTCTGACCATCAGAAGTGATAACGTTAATGCTCAAAAGGTTTTCCAATTGGTGGAACAACCTATGGGCAACCTGGCTGATATTTCCATCATCTTAAGGAAAATAAAGGGAAAGGGTTTACTGTGCGCAGGCAGCAATAGTGCATTGATAATGTTGTGGCAGGTATCAAAAGGTATGTAGAAGGATAAGCTACCAGCAAACCAGGATCAACTTTATCTTCCTGTAATGTATTAAGGTCTGATAAACACATGGTATCACATATAGATGCAAAGTTTCGCATGGTCCCTTCATCAGGCAAAGGAAAGTGTGTGACATGGTCACACTTTCCCTACCTGATGAAGGGACCATATATATATATATATATATACTGTTCTGAAACCTAACATCTATAACATCTATATGTGATACCATGTTTATCTTAAATTACGGGAAGATAAAGTGGACTCTGGTGGCTGGTAGCTTATCCTTCTACATGTTGATCTGCGCTGCGACATTCGCTGCTACTTTATCACCCGCTAAAGCACGTGTCAAACTCAAGGCCCTGGGGCCGAATCCGATTAAATTGAGTTTGACACCCCGGCGCTAAAGTATTGTGAATGGGTAAGGAGTGCTATGAGACAATTTCCGATTAGGTATTAAAAAGGTAGGGACAATGAGCAGATGCCTCTTTGGGCAGGGAGACATCTGCCCGATTATGTCCAGTTTTTCTGGTGTGGCTATTTCACCTATAACAAGGACTAGTGATACTGTGAATCTACCCCGTATTAGACGCATTGGCCATGGAGATCTTACCTGTCATCAAATTATAGGCTTCCAGGTCAACTGAAGTTTTCTTTAAAGGCCTAACTAGGAAGAACTTCTTAGCATGTACTCAGGTAATGCAGGCTTGCAAGCGGAAGCGTTAATTCCACTGCCACATTCATTTTTAGAATTATACGCTCTCCGCGCTATGCAAAACACAAGCGATTTGTATCGCTTAAACAAAGCAGTTCAGCAAAACTGATACAACTTTTAAAAGCCGAAGGACAAAGCTGTTATTTAAAACCAGGCAGGTGTCTGCCAAGCTCCAATTGTAAACCGTCACTTCCCTTTTTCCTTTATTCAGATTCTTAATGAGGTATTCATCCTTTGAAAGATATCTGCACCACCTCCTTAAGATACTAATTTCACAACAAAATCCTCGTTACAGAGTAATTACTCTAAACGCCTGTCTAAATTCCATCTGTCCTCCCGCTCTCTCTCAAAGGCAAATGGAGGAGCTTGCTGTATGTTTTCTAAAGCACTGCTCATTTGTTTCTTTTCATTCACATTTTTTTAAATTAATGCATGTGTATGTGTGTGTGTGTGCGGCACATTTGTTATCTGTAAAAATTTGTCAACTGGATCTGATCCACCGACCGAAGGTAGAAAGACAATGTCAATCTGTTACACAGAGGCTAAACCCATATGGGCATATTCTGCCACGCTGTGCAAAAACTGGTGTAAGTAATACAAAGAACCAGCATTATTAAAGCTAAACCTCAGG